TGCTAACATCTCAGATTTATGTGTGAAAAAATGAATCCACACGTACGTTGAATAATCATCAATAATGATACATAGTACAACTTTTTAAAGCATGAGGCAATAGCAGAGAGCCTCACACGTCATTATGTATATATTCAAGTAGAAGCTTTGAATCATGAATTACAACATCAAAGTTTTGCTTTTGCTTCTTGTCCATGATACAATATTTGTAAAATGATAAGTCAACTTGACCCAAATCAGGTAACAATTTCTTCTTGTCATGAAATAACATGTATCTATCATTCATTTGTGCTAGCCTAGATTGCCATACATGAAACATCTCCAAGGATATTTAGAGGAGAGGGAGAGATTGGATGCAAATTGCCATGAGATGTGATCTCAACTGTCATTAGTTGAGGAGCAGTTGATCTCGGCAGAAGCAAGATTGCCGGAGACGGAGGCGAAGAACCATTAGTTAGCGGGGCAGATGGATGCTGCATTGTGTGTGCAGGTAAACCGATGCCTTCGCGACTATGTGGAATGGGAGATCTTGACGTTTAAGTGGACAAAGTTGAGTGAGCTGGAGCGCCGAGTGTCAAATTTGGTAGCTAGCTTTGTAGCGGGGCAACGGCTGTTAGGTAGGAAACTTGATTTGTTCATCGCCGGTTTGGAGGAGACGAAATAGAATGTAGAATTAGAAGCTAGCTTTGTAGCGGGGCAACGGCTGTTAGGTAGGAAACTTGATTTGTTCATCGCCGGTTTGGAGGAGACGAAATAGAATGTAGAATTAGAATTGTCGGCCGCTCTGCGTAGTATAGGAGTAGATAGGAACTCAGTGGGCACGGTAACTGCCGGATCAGCTGGCGTCGCATCTGTTGGAGACGCGCATCACAAGTGACATCTCCGGGTGTTATTTAGGAATAACGAGGCCCAATGCTCTACCTTTGGGGGGCTTTTTCATTAGTTAATTTTTCATTTTTCAACTTGCATTACTCCGCGCGTTATTAAATTGAGTGTTTTGTCATCGTGCGCGAGTTGCTTCAATTTGTCAAAGATACCGCATCTGAAGTAGAAAGTCCAAGTTGGATGTTCTGAGTGGTGCATAGTGTAGCTCAGGTATTAATCAAATCTGAACATTGGAAGCTCGGTGAAGCCCGTTGAGTGTATAATTTTGGGATTCCCCCCTTCCCCTGCACTCCCTCTGAATATCAATTGAAGAGTCGTGTGCGGCTTCTGTAGGGTCTTATTGGATGAATTTCAGGTTTGAGTGTGATTCCATCCTGCAATGCGATGCCTTCAGACTTAGCACTTGCAAAATTTTCTGGGAGTGACATGTGTCTAAGAAGTAAAACTTCTCAATAGACTGTTCACCGTGAAAATACTTTGTTCTCTGGGTTGTTTCTGTCCTCGTGGGATTGGATCTTTACCATTATGCTCCATTTTGGTAATTATGTGTTATTACAAGTAGGCCTCGGCAAGGTAAGGTAAAAGGTAACCGGTTAAGCCATGAGCTCTACCTTTACCCTACCTTTTACCTTCCTCGTGTCACTATTGTCTATTTTTACCCTTTAATTCTACCTCACGGTAATTACCAGGTTACCTAATACGGATTCTTAAAGGTTAAAATTTACTTTTACATCAGGGTTACCGAGTAATTACCCTATTACCTCTACCCTTAAGGTTAAAAGATCAAGATTATCCGGTAATTAACCCATTACATCTACCCTAAAGGTTAAAAGGTAAAGGTAATTTACTTGTTTAGTATAGGTTATTTGGATCGTTTCATTAGAATGTGCAAAATTATATTCTGAATAATTTTGAGAGTGTCCACATTTTTGTTTTTCGTAGTTACAAGGGTTAGCCGGTAATTACCAAGTAACCCATTTGGCTCTACCTTTATCTTACCTTTACCCTACCCTATAGCCAAACTTCTACCTTTATCTTTTACTCTTTTACCGGATAGCCCTAAAAGGTTAGGTTACCTTGCCGAGGCCTAATTACAAGTATGAACTCATATGGTATCACATTTGAGATTTTCCGCAACTCAGTGTACTCCTAATGTCATTGAGAGAGGAAAAATGTCATGTGAATCCTATTATCAAGTTGTGGGTAGTTTCATGTATTTGATGGTGTGCACAAGATCTAATATTGCTCTAGCGATGGACTAGATGAGAAGATATGTATCAAATTGAGAGAAATTTCACATTTCACTTCACGGAAAGAAGTGAAATGATATTCTCAAGTATTAAAAAATAATTAAAGATTATGGCTTATTGTTTGATGATTAATTAGACAATGCCAAATCCTTTAAGGCTACGTTGATGCCTGCTATAGACAATATATGCACAAGAGGAAATCTACAACTAGATATGAATTTAAATTTGATGGTGGAATCATAAGTTGAGTATCTACCTTGCAGAAGTGCGTAGCTCAATTTATAACGGAAGCTGAATATGTAAAGGTAGCAAAAGTGGCAAAACTATTTGTTTAGATATGTTTATCACTTAGATTAGATTAAAACATGATGTTATAAATCTTCATTGTTATAGCTAGAGTGCTTTACATCTGGTTGCAAATTAGATGATGGAGAGCAGAGTGAAGCACATTGAGATGAATTATCATATTATTAGATATGTAGTTTTTGATTGAAAAATTAAGTCATTCAAGATAAACAATGAATTCAATCTAACTAATGCGTTGACCAAAGGTTTAGGCAACATTGTGTTACTATGCAAATTTTTCATGACTACCACAAGTAAAGTTTGCTAGCATTCCAGTTAGCTCTTTATATTATTACTCTATCATGTTTTGGCTATGGCTTAATTCTAGTTAAAAGGAGGAATCTTTTGTTAGATTTCATTCTAGAATTTTTCACAAAGTAGTAATATATGTTACGGAGGTTATTATTCTTTTAGCATGAATTATGGTGGAGACTATTGGGGTTTAACTTGGGTTTTGGAGTAACTCCTAGTAAATAAACTACAATATCTTCTTATGTTAGCTCTTGAGTACTTATACCCCACTTCAACTTATGTATGCGCTCCAAAGATCATTTTTATACTATCACCTTATGATCTCCCGGGGAAGTAGCTTTGAGAGACTGAACCACATGCAAACTATCTGCTTGAGTTAATCTTCTTGTGTGTTGGTGTTTAGTCTATTGTTGTTAATTTTGTTAAATTTCTATTATATTTTGACTTTAAGTGAACTCCCGGTATTTAACTCAGAATTAATTACATCATAAAAAATATCATTACATATCATGAAACATTCTTTAATATTTTTTATTGTAAATATTATGATTTTTTCAAATTAAAATTAAAATTCAAAGAAATAAAATCACAATTTTGAAAGTTGGACTATAATCAAATATTGAAGCAACAATAAATACAAGAAAAAAAATTAGAATTTTGAACAAATGAAACTGATTTATTAAAATAAACTTAATTTTACTTAATATATTGAAAATATATTTTTTGATGCAATTTTTTTCATTCAATTTTTGATACATTATGCAATCTTATTATCTCATGGTAGATTAAAATAAATAATTTCAAATGCGTACTTACAAAGATGTTAGTTATAAGGTTTTCAAATCTGTGTATTAATTAGGTGAACTAAAGAAAATATTTATCGTTATAAATTAATTATCTTAATTAAATTAGATCTAAATAATAAACATAAATTTATACTATATTTTTTTGAAAGTTTTTATTTCAATAATCAGTTTATTTAGGTAAAAAATAAATGCATTTTTTTACATTGACTCATGAACAATTAGTGTTTAAAATTAAATACGCTGGTTAGTGTCTTAGTTGAAAATAATACATGAAAAATTTTGATTTTATATACGTCATGTTATCATTACTGTAAGAATGAAATGGATAATATGATGATGAATGATTTTCTTGTATTTTTTGGGAAGATCTTTCTAAGTGATTTTTACTTTTAGGAGTTGTATTTTAATTGTGAAAAAATCAATCTCCTATTCCCTAAAAAATTACATAATTTCAAAAGTATACGTTTTGACAATGAATTTTGAAAAATTTAATGACGGTAAGACTTCTAGAATAATCTGACTATTTTTCTCTATAAAAAACATTTTAGAAATCAATGAATTGCTATATATTATATAACATACATTGTGAAAAATTATATCAAAATCTATAGTGTTAAAAAGTGAAGCCAACGAATTTATTAAATTTTAGTATAGAATTTTCAGTTTTAAATCAACACCTTTCAATCAATATAACGAGAATATCTTAGTTATATAATGTTATCAATTACGCTTAGATGCTATGCAATATTAGCTCTTTGTTCATTGTTTCAATATCTTTTGATGGCATGAATCCATACTTTAGATTATCTATTAATGTTTTATGTTACTTTAGAGGAAGCCTAAGTTGATTGCATACGAGATTTGGCCTAGAATGGAAAGTTCAGCAGGACTATCAAAGAGTGTACTCTTCAGAAAGTTTAAACTTGCAGGAAATCAACGGTCACAGGTGCTATGTACTCAATACTTTGTATTTAAAGAACATGTATGTCGCCACAAGAGAATTCTATATCGAATTTATTTTCACTTGATCATAAGTTTTAATGTCATATTGGTTAGATATCACCTTCGACTAAATCTCATTTTCCATATGAGATTAATTGTGATGATTGTTCAATTCTTCCTGTAAAATTAATTTTCCAGATTTATAATGTATCCCCCTGTGAAGCTATTGAATGGTGGCAGCATGTTAACCGTTTCAGCTTACCATCTTTTTCAATACTTGTTTCATTCCTTCGGAATGATTATGTAGGAAGTTATCTCATAGATTCTCATTTTTATATTATAGAAACAAAAATGATCCAACACATGCAATACAATCCGATTCAGTGTGGGAATAAATTACAAAAATTATTATCTATAATGTGAAACATTACGTCATTGCATTAGGTAGATGCTGATAGAGAACACTCTTATGAATGTGGACAGTTGCGGGAAATTTTGGACAGAACTTGACAAGATGAGAGAACAAAACCGCTTTAAATTAGTGACTTCCTTGCTGGAAGAGACTCAGGTCCTATGTAAATCAAATCACAGCAGAAGACCGAACAAGAGATGAAGAAAACGTGAGCTTCGAAAGCGAAGATCTTAGTTGTAGTGCAATCTGGGCGTCGAATGGATTAAGTTGAAGTACATGTACAAGGCTTAAACCACGAGACAGAGCAAGCGTACGGTATCTTTCTCGAAGTAGTACTCGTTGAGCGCTAACAACTCGCAGAGAAGAGAAGAGAGCTACAAATCAGCACCTGACTATAATTCGCTACCCGTGTGCATAAACATTGTCCTCCTAGGAGATCACGTCGTCGACGACCCACTGTAATGTGGGACAGTGGGAATTGGGGTGGGTCCGTCAGTCACGCGCGCATCATCCTTCGCTGCAGATGTCGAGTTGGGCGAATTCGGAGTCGGAGCTTCTCCTCCGAGATTAACTGCAAAATGTCGCATGGTCTTTGCAGATTCGGTTTCAGGGGACGTTGATACGAGAGCTAGGCGACGAAGAAAAATAATCTCTACAGCTCTAATTACAACTTTCCTCGATAAATTGGACAGATGACAGTCACTGATGATGATGGTGATGAGGACCACGACGACGACGACGACGATGATGGTTTCTCAGGAGGATGGTGGTCGGAGTCAGAAAGCGAGCGAGGTCACTTCTTTTCTTCCATTTGCTTGACGACGACCACAGGGCACTGGACGTGGTGGACGACGTAATCGCTGACGCTTCCCAGGAGCATGCGCTTGACATTGCCCTGGCCGCGGTTTCCCGTGACCAGGCAGTCGAGCTTCTGCTCCACGGCGGCATGGGTGAGCTTGATGCGAGCATCGCCGTAGTAGACCTTGGCCTTGATTTGCAAGTGCTTCTGGCGGGATGCTGTCTTCAGCTGCTCGCACAGAGCCTGGTCCTGCGACAGCCGCGAGTGTGTCTTGCTGACGCTGGGATCCTCGAGATCCGACAAGCTGATAGTCGGAGCTCCTGTCTCCTCCCACAAATTCGACATCCCATCTTCCTGCTCGAACTTCTGGACGATCAGCAGAAGCACCTGGTCGCCTTCCCTCACGACGTTGTTCAGAGCCCAGGTCAGCGCATACTTGCTCGGGACAGAGTAGTCCAGGGCGACTCCAACAACTCTTTCGGGAGCCATTATGCTTTTCGACGATCGCGTCTTTCTCTTTCTTTCTTCTTTTCCTTCTTCCGATCGATCGGTCGATCCAAAAGCAAGCGGGTGGGTGGGAGAATTCGCTGCCGACCGAAATCGATTGAAAATCCTTTCCTCGGGCTGCTGCAGACGAGTAAACGACGACGGCTCTTCTCCAACCTCTCCCGGGGAGCTGTATTTCAAGACCCACAGCGGGACCTTTCGCAGGAATCCAAAAGGCAGCGCACGAAAGAGAGAAACGTGAACATCCGATCGATCGACAAAAGCTTTGCGCGTCTGACTCATCCCTATCTATCTGCTGCTACAGTCTGCGCTTTATTGGCTGGCCCCGCAGACTCCGAGCCGCCGGAATATTCCCCTGCCTGCCGTGGATCGACGCAGCCATCGTGCCGGGGCAATTTTGCGAGTGGATACCTCCGGATCCAGTCGCAATTGTTTATTGCACCCCGAGTCTCCCACTGAGCCCGACGTTTTCCTCGAGCTGGCGCCGACTCTCGTGCCTGCGTTCGCTCGCCGAACGAATCTGCTGCTCGGCCAGCACCAGCTGGGCCACAGTGCTCGACCCGTCTGTTTTGTCAGCTTCGTAGCCGAAAGTCCACCTGGTCAGCTGCCCACGAGCTCGTCCCCGAAGCTCGCGGGCGCAGTCAGAGGAGTCATAGCAGATCGGAGACTCCTGATCTCCTCGTTCTGCTTCGTATCGGTGATCGGTGTGCCATTGACCTCTGCAGGTGGTTGCATGGCGCCACAATGCCACTGGCGGAGATTCGAGCGACTCGAGCTGGGCTTGCTTCCTTTGTCGCAGCACTGTGCTGCTCGGTCCTGGACCTCCTCAGCTTTGGGAGAAAGTTATGGAAGGACGATGTTTCTTCCACACGATTGTTTGAAGCCCGGGGTTTTCTGTTCAGACAGTGTCTGGATTCCAGCTGAGTCAGGACCAGATTCCGGAAATGACAAATGTTCTTTGACTTTAGCGGATCCATTGCTGACGATGGCCGGCAACTTCGGTCTCTACAGCCTCTGCGATTGTTGATTGTTCGGATGTTGTGTGTGGAGATGGCTGATGACGACGGGGCATTCATGAGTATGGTTGTCTCATCCTGGCCCAAGTTTCTCTTTCAAGTTTCAAATCTCTCAGCTGCAGAACGCTGGGGATATTGTTTGCACGCTGCAGGTAGTTGGTGCCACCTACGATTGTGCCCACTTCATGATATTCCTTGCGTCCACGAACTATCTTGCAGGTCCGATTGTAATTCGAGGTGATGTGCGGAACTTGAGGTCACATTCCTTCAGTCATGGCCAATTTCTGGCCAGTGAGTGTATGCTCTCTTGTGGGATTAATTCTGAATGCCTTAATACTATTATCAGTCTCGATTCGCTTGCTCTAAGGACGGATTTTGTGTTGTCGTTCGAGGTCTAACAAAAGGGTCTGTTGTAAGGCTACTGAAGGTGCTGTACACAAGGTCTATTCTGCTCGTTTTCAGTTCATTGCCGACCATCAATCAGATATTTTGTGAGAAAATTCTGGGCTAGATTTTAACCTTGGCTTCTAGTGCTGTGATATGTGAAACTGAGATGGGCTACATAACGAAAGTAAGCTTCATTGAATCAGCGCTTTCAAGTGTAAGACGGGCTCCGTCCACTCATTAGAGCAATATGACGAGCATTGGCGATATGGCGTGAAGCTTAGTAGATAACGTCTTGTCAATTTTCCGCTCTGGCTCGTGGCACCTCGAATATCAGGTATCAGGTTTTCCTCACCCAAACCAATCACCTGGCGTGATGGGACAAGCACCAAACTCCGGAAGGTTGCGATGAAAGATCTGAAAGTTGTGAAAATGGTATTTGTGGATTATTTTCACAGAGCAAACCTGTCGAGACTTATTACTCTGTATAATATCTTTGAGCAGGTCAGCTGCTGTGAAAGTGGAGGTTACATTGAGTTCGTGTGTGGGAATGCAGATTCGCTTCGGTACGTACATCAATCAATCCAACGCAGAAGGTAACTCGTCATCATGTCGAAATTCAGAAGTGAATGATTGTCCAGCCTACAAACTTCGGGCACGCAGGCACTGAGGAGTAGCTCTGAGGTTAGAGCTTTTGGCTTTGGATGACGGAAGAGACTCATGGCGGATGGGATTTGCTATCGTTGAAAGCGATGTTGCAGTGCGCAGACCAAACATTGTTACACATCGGGAGGACATTGAGAGACGCAGAGAGCCAAGTGCAAATCTGCGAGCCATGAACGTAAGTGCCTGAATCTGTGCCATGTCAGGTACAATTAAAATTGCGGCAGCAACGACCCAATTCGTGCTATAAATACTTCACAAATGAGCCCTCCTAAGGCCAAGTGGATAGCAGAGACCATGAGAAGACCCACCCAAAGTTTGTAATCCATTCTTTCACTGGAATACCAGTTTAGTTGTTTATTACACACATTTAGCAGCTGATAAATCAAAGGTAACTTTCTGAAAATAATCCGAGATAATTTAAAATATAACGAGTATTTTACAATGAAAAATTCTAAGTGTTTGAATGTTCAAAAGTTTTTAAATTTTCTCACGGAAACCCTCAAAAGTTAGTTTATAAATCAACAAATTTCAAATTTTTTTTTGTTAAGTGGAACATTTAAGTACATCAAAATCACAAGTCTATAATCGGATACCTTATAGAAAATTTGAAATAATTCAAATAGATCCATATAAATTTTAATTTTATCTTATATACAATTAAAATTTCATATTAGATAAAATTCTACTTGAAACCAACATCACTGTAAAATCATATAAAAATAATTTAATTTCTTAATTTATAATTTTAGTTAATAAATAACATTGATTTTGAACATTTGTAAACAAACGTAAGTTTGTTTACAAAATGTTAATTGAAATATAAACTAAGTTTATATTTCAATTAACATCAATCATATAACAAATGTAAACATTAAATATTTCAAAATTTTGCAAAAAATAAAATTACTCCATTCAAATATTTAAAATTTGTGTCCCATATAATTCCTTTTCCTCTTTGAAATCTGGGGCCAAAAGAATTATAAAGCCTAAAGCCCCCGATTTCTCAATGAGACCTTTTGAAATTTTTAGAATTCAAATAGTTACTTCTCATGCTAGAATTATAAACAAAATATTGAAATTAGATGAAATATTTAATCTTGTATCATGAATTACAAATCTTAAAATTTACTTTTTTTATTTGTAAAATTTGATTTCTTTTCATTTAATATGATTTAACTTTACAATATATACCCTAAAAATATATATACGTCATTTAACCTATTAAGGTTAGTAATGTGTTTAAGATATAGCGTTTAGTGTTAACTCACAACCTACATAAACATTATTTACATACTCTTTCAAAATCAAAATCTCTAAGGTGATTGCAATTTGTAATTGTATTTATATAAGTAATTTGATAGTAGATACTATGAGATTATATTATTTATATCTTAAAAAAATGGGCTGTATTCAAATTGAATAATTGCAGATCTACATGAATAATTTTTTTTGTATGTTTCACAACATATAACTCATGTAAATATTTGGCACTTGACCAATTTAATACATTATACACCATACTGAGAAATATACACGAATCAAAATCCATTTGCTAGAACTACATTTCACAAATTTCTAGACCTCAAATCCTCTTGGATTCTTCCTTTTATTTACATTGCATGGACCATATGATGATTCCAATATGAATGAAGTTTATCTTACTGCTATATGACACAAAAACAATGAGGTTATATTTATCGTGCTTCTCGTGGCCTTTGAGAGAAATGTACAATGTAAATGATATATTATTACCACTAATATTTCTTAGGTGTTGAGCCATAGGAATTTTTTTACTCTATTCTAAAACATAATTGGCACTAATTTCTCTAGGTCATTTTAAAACCTCTCTATAGCCAATAGTTTTCAGCTCTTGGACTTAAATTGTACCATTTTATAATCATTAAAAAAATACTCACTATCATGTCTATTTCTATCCTTTTGTGGATTGGATTGCAATGGATTTATAACGTACCTAAAAAAAAAACGTGATTTATCATAACAAGGCCGGCTTATAATAGATATTTAGAGTTTTTGGCGCCTAAATAACCTAAAATAATTCTTGTGAGGCACCCAACTTAAGTCTCTCTCGCACCATGGCCATTTTTTGAAAATTGACTCACGATGTGCTTCTACCTCAACCGTCAACGGGTTGCAGTGTTTTTTCTGCGTCATGTTCGGTCGTTAGTAGAACGTTGGCGCAAGGCGCAATATCATGACCAACGTGCAAGGTTGGAGTGCACCATTTCGCTACGATAACATTGAGCTTCACATAAAGAAGCAGCACACTATCAAATTTGGATTGTATAAAAAGCTGTGATTGAAAGCGAAGTAGTAACATTTTTGCAATGACGTCAAGATCTCTTTCAGAAGCAATCTCAGGCTCACTTTGTCTCTAAAGCTACGAGCAATCATGAAATTCTCTTCATCATTGACAAAATCATTGTTGAAATAATCGTTGGTGAGATGATGTATTCAGCAGAGGATGAGGCCAGTGATGTTGACGATGACAACGAGCAAGAGCCTGCATTTGAAAGTGAGTCTCAACATGCGATTGTGGTGGCTAACCGCCGTGCCAATGCTGTGAAGATGAAGAAGCAAGCAATGGCACTTTTCAAACGCAATGAACCAGCAAATAATGATGACGGAGTGTCCTATTCCTATATTGTCACAATCATAAAATTCAATACCCATCTCTTCAACCTTGCCATTCGATACGTCGTGTGTGGAGCATCACTCCATATAACAGCGAGTATCATCGGCGAGACATATCAAGTCCTATCTGCTCCTTCGCAACATTTTTGCTCTTGTGAGAATGTCAATAGCTTCGTTAAGGTAGTTTGTGCTGCCAACTTTCAACGCCTCTTAGAGCTACTAAAGAAAACTTGGGCTTTTTTGTTAGCGTTGGACTCAGCATCGCACCAGAACACATCATATTTGGATGTTTGTCTTTGTGTGTATGTGAAAATTAAGCACGTAGTCGTCAACCTGCACGGGTGTGCACGGCTGATTTTGGAATGACAGACAGACAAAGTCACGTTCAACATGATTCATCAGTTTCTTGACATACTCTGTCCTCATTAGAGAATTGATATTCTTGGCGCATCAAACAATGGAGCTCAAAATATGATCAAACGTGTTGTTGGCATTGTGACAAGGCTTTAGGTAGAACTTCATAATTTCTGTGATCTAATCCGAATCTGGTGCGGAGCGCATCAGCTCGATCTAGTTATGCAGCACATCATGAATATAGTTGTGAAGGAGCGATTCTTGTCAGTGATGACGGATTCCATTTTGCATCTCACGCAGCAGCAGAACCTGATCGCGTAAACAAATACTAAATGCCCTCATGTTGTAAACTGATGGTTTTCAACATACAAGACTACAACTTGGTTCAAAAAGCACTAACCTGAGCTCATAGCTTACATTGAGTTGAAGCAGCCTGCGAGTGCACTACCTCAACTTTGGTGGATGTACCTTCTTGGCATGGATGCCTTCACGGTGAAAAGCGCCAAAACTTTTTGCAAGATTCAAGGCCTGATGATCCTTATATCGCAACAGCAGACAGAGCACAATGCTCGTTGGCACCTTCATCGAAGATCTGGATATTAATGAACCGTTGACAGAAAAATTGATTTCTGTCTTGGATGTGACGACGCATATCATCAGGGGTCGCTACGTGCTCACACTTTTGAACTTGCAAGAATTTGTCATCGGATTCGCATAATGGATTGAAGTCATTCTTGATGCTTCTGATGAAACGAAGCATAACGAATTGTTGCAAGATGTTGGTCTGATCTTTGTTGAAGCATGTGCTTGCATTGAAAGAATCGTTGTACAGCGTGATGCAAACAGTAGCCCATTCGTGTATCCACTCACGCTATCACCTAATTTACCGCAAGAGCTTGTTCGCGCTTCCGCTGCCAACTTCATTCTCAAGGCTCGTAGACAGAGCTTTTGCTGGCAACATCAATATTCGGCAACACAAATAATTGTCATTGCCGACGAGCATAAAGCTCTTCTTCAAGCTTACCACAGTGATAGGAGAGCATTGATGATTGTAACCAAAAGACATACTTTGAAAATGCTTGTACCTTACTCAGTGCTCGGTTTACAAACTTGGTCGAGTTTTGCAGTGACATTGCAACTATATTTCCCGGCATAAGTACAGTGGAGTCTGACTTGTATGTCATGAGATGGGAGAAAGGTGATCACCTCAAGAGTATTTCAGACTTTGGACTTCAATGTGTGGTGCAGGCAAATTGTGATAATTGAGGAGCTACCTTGCATCTTGATCACCTAAATAAATTGATCTGTAATGCACACCTTGTTGCATGAATAAATTTCCAATTCTCGTTTTTTTCCTTCAATCTGGACTAAATGTGCCTCCCTCCTAAATTAATTCTGCAACTGCGCCTATATTAACCTAATATAGGTGATTTAGGCGATCGCCTATTATAACCAAACTATCACTCCAATCTAAAGTGCTTCAACCTCAAGAAAAACGGAGAGGAGTAGAGAAAGCTGGATGTGGTGGTGGAAGCAAACTATCGAAGGCCGGATTAGATATCAAGATGCACACAGAATCCACGATTCTTTCACAAGAATCTCGCAAATGACCAAGGGCGACAACTTCATGGATACCAAATGTTGAAGTGGTTTTCAGTCCGATAATAAACATAGAATCAGATAAGTCATCAAGAAAATGAGAAACCTTTCATAGGCCCTGCAATGGCACGGCAGAAATCTCTGGACAAGCACGCCATCCCACAGATAATCCATTTGCAGCTCCCCTTTGCTCCGTTGGCTGCAATGCAGAAGTAGAGACGCTAATGTTGGCACAAAAGATGCTCACACTCCGGAGTAGCTGTGAGATCCTTCCCAGACAAGTATTATGCACGGGAGAAACGATTCCAGATGTCTCATAATTTAAAGCTCACAAAGGAAAAAGAAGCAGTACAATACGAGGGAGTTGTTTGTTGATATGTTGGAAGCCGTGTGAATGAAGCCCTGCAAGTGATACAGAAAGCAGCAAAATGTGAGGAAAGAATCTGATTTTGGGACTGAAAACGGCTCGTCTCTTTTGGGATTGTATAAGAATTATGGTACATTCTCTGGCGATTTCGCCGACAATTTAATGAAGAGAAATCGTTTCACACTCCCACTGTGATAGCTGATAGTGTACTGTCAGTGCGGTTTGTGTTTTTTGCGACGTCATGAGTATATATTGCGCGTTCTTCTACATCTATGCAATGATGTAATCACTGTGAATAACTCACAATCATGAAGTCCTGGTCAATGCTAGAACATTAAGCATCAACCATCGTGTTGTTCCGTGCAGCGATGAGACGAGAGTAAATAGTATGATCACAGGAGCGCACATGATCTGCAGAGTAACTGTATCAAAAGCCTAATGGGAAGACAGTCGAAGCTCTTCAGCGTCCAAAGTCCAGACAGCGAACGTACAGTATCGTCGACATGCTTAGCTCTGAAATCCTCGCGAGCAACACCAACAGGACCACCGCACGGAAAGATCACCAACGCATGCACGCTGTGTATTTAATCATTACTTGCAGTATATATGGAATATATGCATAATCTTCCACACACATCAGTCTGGCGAAGAAGGCACATCGAAGGCTCATCATCATAGACTTAGCGACCAATCAATGAGTCCTGCTCAAAGATGCTCGGAAATTAATCGCAGGCTGTAACGGAAAAGCATGAGAACTAGTAAGCCGTAGTAGCTTTGGATGTTGATTAAACAATGATTACACCAAAGTCTTCCGCATTATAAAACAACACCTATGAGCATATGTAATGATATCATCTGAAATGTATTAAAAAACATAGGACAAAAGTAATTGTCCAGATTGAGAGACACGGAAGCATACACGAGCAAGGAAACCTCGCAAAGCTGGACCGATGACCAAACCAAGATTGAAGCTTGTAGTCACCTGTTACTTAACACCAAAAACAGATTATCAAGTGACTGGTCACTTTCCTTCCTTGTTGGAAACGAGTGATTTCCTGATACATATGATGCGTGCTTTTACATCAAGAACTATCTGTTATCTGAGTTACTTTGACAGTAGTAGCTACATGAGAGACAGTATCATGGATCTGGAGACCCCAAAACAGATTACACCTAGCTTACATTGGAAGTTTTTGTTCTGCACATTGTACTCTACAGAACCTGACTTAGAGAAGACGTTACAGCATATTTCTGGAGCAAAGGAATGAAGATAACAATCGTTCCTTCATTCAAAACGGATTCTTCTGTTCACTTAGACTGCAAATATAGCCAAACCAAATTCACCAGATGATCAGCCTACAGCGCTTTCACCCCATGCTTGATTCTCTTCGTTACAAACCTCTCATTCAGAAGACTGCATCGACAATTCGAAGCACTGGGAGTTAGATAATAATCTGGTAAAAGTTTTTTAGCACAAATGAACATTCACAAGGAGAATTTGAATGCAACACTTTGAAAAGTATCTGAGTTGTATTTGTTTTCAAGGCTGAAGCTATTCCAACTCCATTTTTTAACTAAGTGCCTACCCTTTAGTCTTGCAACTTTACACAAGGTGGGGCCTTCATGAAAGCTAAGGAAACAGAGAATTCTACCTTTATTAAAAAACGGACGGTGCTTAACTTCCGAGGCTTAAGTACTCCATTGAAAAATCCAGCCATCAGACGGGCAGTTACTGCAACCCAGAAATTGTTTGTTGCATCGAGAATTACCTGACATACGATGCTGATACAGCATTTGCAATTCGTGACGTTCGAACATATAGCTAGACCCTGCACGCAATTTATTAACTTTTTGAAGGTGCATTATATTACACAAATCTGGAGGAATTCTCGAGACGATGGGAAATTCTACTGGGCTCAAAATAGGGCAGTCGATACACACATGAGAGAAAGTTTGATACTCACAGAGGACCCCGCAAAATAGCCTTTTATCATCTTCATTCGCAGTTTTAAAATCCCAAAATTTGGAGTGGGATTTTGAAACACTAGATGCGGGGCTGCAAATTTTGGGGAAAAGAATCATGGCGGATGGGAGTTGCTATCGCTGAAAGCGAAGTGGTAAAGCGCAGGCCAAACATTGTTACTCATCGGGAGGACAACGAGAGCCAAGTGAAAATCTGCGGGCCATGAACGTAACCGCCTGAATCTGTGCCATGTCAGGTACAATTAAAGTTGCGGCAGCAACAACCCACTTCGTGCTATAAATACTTCACAAATGGGTCTTTTGCCCAAATTTGGGGGAGTGCTTGCATGCGGAGCAATCCAAAACGAGCTCTCCAACAGCCGCACCTCGATTTCGATTCTTCTTGTCTCTGAGAACAAAACCATCTTGACCTCATTGTTCAAACGAGCAGTATCAGCCTCTACGTCTCCTCTCCACAACACGATACTCTCTCAGCAATTCTCATGCTCAAGGAGACGTCGCTCGTGCTGTGATCGGCCATACCTTTCGTTCATGCCCACAGCACAGCATAGCACAGTACCGAGATCAGGCTGCTATGGCAGCTTGTTGGAATTCTACATGCCTTCCTCAGCTCATCGGGATAACTTAGTCTGAAGTTTTCCGACAGCGATGCACTATTTGTGTGCCCACACAGTGAGGAGTTTGATCGATCACATTGCAGGTGATTTCTCCCTCCGGCAAGATCCATCCAAGCGACTTTAGCTAGCATAGGAAGGCAGGTTTCTCTACGATGATGTCGTCAAACTAGGGACGACGATGCGGGGATCCCGATGGCGATCGAAGACCCGTGTACTGACACGGAACTGCAGACGAAGTTGGAGACGACAAGACACTGAATTTTAGTAACATTCATGAAACTAATTTGCCGATAATTACAGAAATTCGAGAACCACAACCATTCTACTCGATACTCATGTCTTGACCTTCCGAGGTACATGAGACAGTCATCCTGCTGCTGCCGCCGCTGTGACAGAGACGATAATTTTCTGCGGTCTAATATCTTGAAGAGACCACTAGAGTACACATTCTCTTTGGGTACGTGACGGCTCAGCGATGGAAGTACAAGACCACCACCTTCACATGGTCCAATCACTAATTATTACCAACACCTTCGCACACCCTTCAACATCAAATGATGGATTACCCAAGCAAGCGCCAAACTCGTGCATGCTTTACGTGCTTTACGTGTAATCTGTAGTTTAGGGTAAGCTGGAGACAAGAAGGTGAGGTCACGAGATATCATAGTCGAGATCCAAATCAAACTTTAAATCCATAAAGAAGTGGTTCTGACGAAGACATAGAAATCATTACACGAGCAACGAACCAGAGAAATCATTGTACCCTTGAAAGTCTGACGTAAAAATTTCTGTGGATTGGATCCTATTGCTTCTGCAGTGCTGACGAAAGGTTTCGTTCAAACGTATCACGGGTTGAGAGATTGCTCGTTAAAAGACGAGCTCAATTAAACTTCCAAGACATCTCTCACTTCGGTGAAAGCAATCAAGTCAACACCGCACTTGTTACAACGATGGTGATATGAACCTTTCCAGTGTGTGCAGGCCAGGAAAATCTCGAAAGATACGTAGCCGGAAATATATAAATTCCGGGGAAAACCGGAAAGTACGAGTGCAGGACTTTAATTCTAGAATCAGTTCATTCAGTCGAAGCGCCTGAAGGTGTGTGTCATGCCCCCTCAGTAGTCACATCAATCGCTTCACCATGGACAGTGTGGAAGTAAAGGCATATATATAAATGAACGATAGCGTATTGCTCTAACAATAGTACGGGACGTTCGATTGTGCGTCGAGCACTGTATACCTCTCCTTAAAGTAAGTTTGACTTGAAGTTCGGCGCATCACCTCGTCACTCCCATTTTCCTTTCGTCGGGTGTCGTCAAATCATCATCCACGATTTTTTTTCCGAAACCGAAGGCATCAGATGACAGTATGCTGGCGGCAACTTGCTGCTTAAGCTGCTGGGCCACGATAGGCTTCAGCGGTTGAATGGCTATTTCGCAGATGGAGATAAAGACATGCCAATTTATACAAAAGACTCATTCAAGGACCAAGGGAGTGTAGCATATCACAGTCGATCCAACTCGTGAACTGGATTAGAAGAATACGTTAGGACAAATACTGATTGCATCTCACGATCCTCGCTGGCCGAAATGACAGACCTATCCGTCCCTTCATGAGAAGGCCTCCAAATTTCTATCCATCCATGGGATTGAGCCAGATTGTATTAGGCCTCTGGGCCTTTCACTTGGGTAGCAGAATTTCCTCTTTTAAGAGAATCTTCTGGGTCGTGGCCTGCTGACATCACAGGCCTTTTGAGCTAGGAAGAATGGAGGGCTAGATTATCACAGAAAAAGCGTGATTTCAGAATTGGAGAAAAGAACTGTGGGGCCACCGGCGCAACAACTTCATTTCTTCAGCTGAATTAAAAAGAGGGTAGCGAATCTCCTTTGCAACTGTTTTTGCACAAGTATGGCACGGGATAAATTTCCCAGGCATACTCCACTTCCGAGAAGCTTGGTTATTGGTAGCCGTGTAGAACAGAACAAAAGAGGCAAGAGGATCAATTTACAACTCACCAGAGGATAAGCCTGAGTGACGTGAAGCGCTACTTTTTAGGCCAGTTCACTGCAGCTCCTCTCGTGCCGGCTTTTATGCCTCAACTGAACGGAGAGAAACCTCTCGCGTTCAACAATCATACCTGTTGCGTACAGACCCGGCGAAAGACCAGATCTTTGATGAAAACGCGCATGCAAGCTGACACGAAAATTGTCGAGCTTCTCCATTTTGGAAGGACTCCTATATCAAAAACTGGGTGTAGGCCACCAAGAGCTGTGATTCAATACATGTACGACTACAGGATACATAAATATTTTCCTGGAAGAGGCACCGAACCTGAGACGCCCAGAGTTACGTAATCCATTCCGAGAAGATATCGTAGAGATTAAAAACTTACTTTCTCCAAGTTCGCATGGCCCTCGCGGAGGACTAGTGAAATTTCGTGAGTTTTGGCAGCCAGAGTTCTATTTCCTCATGATGCTCTTCGGTCGGTACGAAGACTTTGATACCTGGCTACACCAACACTGGTTAGCATCAATGGCAGTTTTTGTTTTTCCTTCAGAGACAACTTTTGTGTCAGTATTGCCGTAATTCCACCTACCCATCAAACAATCCTCTCCTCGACGTGGATCGACCTGTACGATTCCTTAATGATCCTCTGGCAAGAGGAAAAAAGTGTATTTCAACCTTCCGTCTCTTGAAAGCAGTGCTCATCTCGAGACTGTTGGAACGAACTGATCTCAACCTGCAGTCAGCGACAGGCATTGCCCTAGTAACTTTACACAAACGCGACATCATGATACTCTTGCCCGCAGTACAGACAGACTAATCTTAAAACACCTTGTACGAACAAGATCCAAATCGTACGATGCTCACGCAGTCCTCACCAAAAAGGAGAAGAAATTTCAAACAGATTCCACACACTCAAATGAAGTTCAAACGCATGTGGACACATGGAAGTTGAAATTGATTTTGATACAATGGACGAACGTTTACATAATAGAAGGTTGCTCAATGTGATCAACCATAATTCAGGTGCGTACAAAGGCTTCCACGGCCCTGAGCTCCAGTTGTGTGAAAACACGTGAGCAACCGGCCCAGGCATTGAACCAAGCTTGCAGTATGATCTAAGTCGGATCCCTACAAAATTTATGTTCCGTTACAGAACACATATGTTGGTAGTCATAGAACAGAAGGAAGGAGGGACTGGGTTTGGGTCGGGTGGGGATGGCGTGGGGAGGAATTGGGGGTAGGCTTAGCTGCGCCCAAGCGCTCTACGCTCGTCGATGTTCAACAAAGCAGCGGCTGGGCACACACTTCAGATGAAGCCAAGCACGTGGCCCAAGTGTGTGGTAATGAAGGAGCTCGACAATGCCACAGTGGTTCAGTAGTACAGCTGAAACTACTCTAGGCTCGCATTTCGATTCCTCCTAAATGTAGACCACAGATAGACCCCGAAAAGGCGCTTCAATCTCTTACATTTTGATCCAGTATCATCTAGATCCCGTCGGTCCGCAACTCTCATCTCCACACCCGTATCCCAAATTTAACAGTGGTCTGTGGATACCAGAAAGCCTCAGAAAACTACTCGTATAACTTCAGATGTACAAAATTACACTCGCGGGGCCTCCTGGTTTCGTGAGCTTGGAAAAGAACAAGCGACATATCGGAGACTCATGCTCAAGCGTCTGAGTGCGTGGCAGAGGTGAGTTGTCATCATTCCCATGGTGACAGAAAACAATATCTGCTCCACTGAGACCTTTCTCCGCATTTCAGCTAAAAGCACAAGCGTATATCTTATTCCCCAGATGACGAGAAAATCAACTCGATGTGCCAGTACAAGCACTGCAGGGATGGACGGTCTCATCTTGAAGTTCTTCTCGGTACACCCTTAGAGACGGCGACTTCAGTCTGTGGTGGAGAACCATCACTCGAACTCCGGATCTTATTCCGCTTCGTTACTCTTCCATTTGCAGTACTACAACTCGGGCAAATGTATTCCAAGCCATCGGTTTTGGAGTACTCCTGAAAGAAGATGTGGCCACCTTGGTCAGGGATGCACATAAACGTTCTCAGAAACCTTAAAAAACGGATGTAATCACATAGAATAAACAGGGTTCCTCATCGATAGCTACACCTGACTAGAAGCATAAGCGTAGACGGAGAGGCCCCAAGAAGATGGACTACGAGTCTAACGAAGACTGAGAGTTACAAGCCTCAAAGTCAAAGTCTTACCTTGAATGTTCCAAGGCCTGTACGTTTGTCGCACCCAAAATGCGCCCATTCTCCACAAATTCCACAGTTGACCCAGTCACCAGCGGCACCACTGCGCAGGACAAAGGCCCAGGGTGTTCATCAATATCCTCAGTTGACGAGCGAAACTGAATTTTTTTTACTAGAGCCCCTGTCATGACAGTCCAGCGAAGGGCAAGAAGGACTTACGGAAAAGCAACGTGAGCTAGTCCAGATTTCAAACAGACTGCTGACGCACTTACCTGTGACATAATATACAGCACTCCCCGTCGACATCATTGTGTGCAAGTTCGTATTCCAGAAGATATGTTTCGTAGTGCTTCTTTAAAGTATTGCCCACACCCTGCCCATTTAGACAAGCAACCTGTAAGTTTTCAAGTTCACCTGCTCTTTGCCGCCACATTCAGGGGGACACTTACACAACCTGAAGCTAATCACTCTACCAAATATCACGGTCACAGGGAGGTATGGAATCTCTCATCCTAGAAAAGAAGTTCGTTTTTTCATCGGGACTGAATCCATTCTCATTTCTCATCACTACAGGCTTTCAGGTTCAGCGAAAAGCTTACGGTCATTTTGTTCGTTAAAGTATGATTCCTCATTTTGGAAAACACTTGGCCTTTCCAGTTTATTCCATTGCCCACATGGAAGCCTCCTCTTGATACCACCTGAACAGAATGAAAGGTAAATTTATGTTAAGAGTGACAGCGTGAATCTGGAAACATTAGGCGAAGTGTTCTGTTTACTTGCTCTATACGTTGTGTGATTGATTAGGAAAATTATTCGGTATAAAGACAAATTAAAACAAACACGACTTTTCAAGAACTCAATAAACCAATATCCAAGACTTATACTATGTTTGGCCACTGATGATTTCGCCAAGCCTTAAAAAAAATCTTGACATAAAAGAGGCTTGGCCGAATTTTAAATGTCTAGAACATTGTTCCCCTACATACGAGGCATTCATACTTCACACGAAGACATAAGGGAGAATAGACCGAGGAAAATATACTCAGCCACCATACTTCTCTATAAAGGTTGTACAAATCTAGTCTTTTTCCGTTCAAAATAACTTCAGGAAAAGCCTCCGCGCCAGCAGGAGGAATAAGTCGCCCATGTCCTCTTGAGACCAAAAATTTTATCAAGTCGGCGAGAAAGTCTTCCTGATCAGATGCAGAAGAGATATGAGTATCAGCTAACCTTGCACCAAAGAGTCAAATCACTAAAAATGAGACCAATGCATCTGTCAAGGAAATATCAAGTGATCCCTAAGTTACTTGTCACTTGTCCATAGAAAACCAGAAACTTAAATTTGTAGAACAGTAGGCAGAAGGTAAAGAAAGTTAGATTGGAAGACAAAGCAACTAGGAGTAAAAAGTAGTACCTCGGCGCAATCGTCGATAGGCTGCCGACTGCATCCATGTGGCTTAACGAGGGGAGCATTTACAGCTAACAACAGAGAAGAGGGAGTAATTGCTGCTGTCTGACCGGTCATAGCAGGCAAAGAGGGTAACGCACTGAGCGGACCTGCTAACGAGCTAGAATGAGGACGTCCAACTTTGCCAGATGCCCCATTCGGCATATTCACTTTCATGGACCAACCAGCATGAGCAGTGGCAACAACAACTGCGTAAGGATTGGCCCTTGGACCCCCTCTATGGGGAACTGGTTTCATAGCCTCCAATAGGGCCAAGTTTTGTTTGCTAGTCCTCCCTAGTGTATATCTTGAGTCGGATCTTGTCGCTGGAGTTCCTCCTGTGGAATTCCGAGTCTCAGACCTGTTACCACCGCTACTACTGCTCTCCTCTCCATTTGTAACTTTGAAGGAGGAGGCACCATCTTCGTCACTCAAACTATCATTGGAGCAGTGACTACTAAAATGGAACAGTTTGATTCGTTTCCGACTTGGGACAGGCGGCGTTAACCACGACGGCATGGACCGATGTGTCAGGCTGTTTGAAACGTCCGTCTCCTTCGACCTGTCAACTTTTGTGGAAGCCAGCCGCATGGTATCTTCCCGTTTGAATGCGGCAACGGCTGCTCCTTCCACTCCAGCAACTCCGAGAGCAACCAAACTACGATAGCTTGATTCAGCTGAGAGCTGCCTTAGAACCTGATCGATCACCCGTAATTAGAAATCTGAGATTATCACTGTATGGAGTAAGCCGAATGCACATTGCATACTTTGACTTCCTATTCGATCCTCAATATTGATACCAGTGAGTTCACAACAATGAGTCGGCTAAAAATACAAACCTCCGGGTTCATTTGTACTTTAGATGGAAAAAAAGAGCTACCTACGTTTCATAGCCGGAGAATAAACCCTTCAACATTCAAACACAAAAAAATAAAATTTCTCATGACTAGCCTAGCAAGCGTCTAGAAGTAGTTACCTGGCCTGCCCAAGCAGGTGTAATGATTCGTAATTCGAATACTGTGGCCCCACATGCCACAGAAACTGATCTTCTCAGTTCAGCATTCAAACTTGATGCCTTTCTATCCTCTGCGCTCTTCATAATACGTACAAGGCGAGTCCTCTCAACGAGCTCCTTCTTGATGCTAGTCTCCAATTGCTAAGACACGAAACACCAACTTAAGTTCAGGGATATCTCTCACAGGGGTGATATAACTTCCTGAGGGCAAAAAAAATTACGCTCAAATGTTCCACCAAATTAATGCTCGTATCATATCTCAGATCATGGACCACTTGCAAAACCTCCGCACCAGAATTCGAAAATAGCAAACTATATGAAATTAACACTCACGGTGGAAATAAGGCCAGACAAAGAGTCAGCTATGCAAATAAAGGAGGAAGTTCAACGCACCAAGTCATCGAAACAAAGCTGTGCGCTACCCGAAACCAAAAGTGGCACACGGGCATAGCTGGCAGTGCAAATGTCACAGCGCATAGTTACGATTCCTCGGGCAAATAGAGCTGCTGCCATCGGAGGGGGTGGAGCACTGCAAGGACAGACCAATTTCTTAGCAAATAAAGTTCCGCATATCTAAACGCGAGCCAATTTTAATTTTGGAGAGTAATTTGAACTCCGGACTCTGTGCAACTTCCAGTTAATTAGATGAACTATAGCATTCCACTAAGTTTCGATTTACCTGATCCGGTTGAGAAGCCGAACACCTCTGGCCTGCAAACCGAAACAAGAACACATATTTCGAACCAATCAGCTTCCAAATGACCGGACAGAAAAGGAACACACCTGTTTGTTAAGACTGTCAACAATATACAACTCATCCAGCATCCGAACGGAGTGCTAGCTACACCCTAACAGATGCGACGTCATGACAGCAACGAAAAAGGTTGGATGCTGATATAATGACCTCAATTGTCAGCAAACTGCTCAGTCCAACTTCCATAGCCTCCAACCAAGCCACGTCCTGTAGATATGAACTGACGACGGTAAGGAGGTGCATCTCTACACCGGCCTAGAAGTGCGGTCTTCACAATTGCATTCAATGTGATAGTTCCGCATTTAGCCTTTACGATGAAACTCACTCCTTTCTCTCTCCAAATTAGCAACAGCAGTCTTCATCTCACAATCAAATGGACATAAGGATTCGACCGTCTAGCACTTACCGGCTTACTTATTTCTGTACAAATGAGAAGTCGAACTTCTATCTCATCGTCGAAAATTTGGATGGCTGACATTGCAGCCTCTGTTGCTTTTGAGCCGCCCCCGTCACTTGACACCTCAGGAGGGGGAAGCTCAACTTTCGGAGGAGCATCTCCAAGGAGTTGGGGCCAACCGTTTTTCACGACTTGCTGTCCATCCAGTTTAGACTGGCAACAAAACACTTGGAAGCACGCCTTCGCTAGATGATACGCATCATAACCTCCAGCTGCAGAACTGTTCACATCCCACCCAACAATCCTCTAAATAATTGAAGCAATCGATGCGGAGCAGAGCTAGCACTAATGTGCATATTCATCTAACAAAAAATGACTTTATATCTACCTTTGCAGCACTAATGTACATATACATCTAACAAAAAATGACATTATATCTACCTTTGCAGCGAAGCAACCAATCCTTGTCGGAAATGAAAGGCCAAAGTGCAAGTCAAAGAAGAAATCTTCCAATATATAACATGTTTGCAACCCTGCCATAGAGGTACATTCGTATCTGTGAGCTCAATGAAGCGAATACATCACAACGTTGAAGATATGAAAATTCGACAGTGCAAAAACGCATGTAACAGCTAGTATTGCGTTGAAACACAGAGCCTACTGGTTCTCAGGTAGGCCAAAGCAAGTTAGAACATAATGGACACAAACAAAATCTGAGTTCGAGAGAAAATATACCAGAGAGTGAACGGCCAAAGCAAGTTAGAACATAATGGACACAAACAAAATCTGAGTTCGAGAGAAAATATACCAGAGAGTGAACGGCGTGCCCGAGTTTCTCTCCTGAAGGAACTTCTAGATATACCTACAAGTTCCAAGCAAAGGTTATGAACTTCCTTTATAGTACATTACCCACCCATGACGTAAGATTTGATTTGCAGGCAGAGCATATACTGGATCAAGAATGCAAATAGAGTTCAGAAGAGCATTGAAAGTCAGATGTTCGACACGTATGATATGAAGTTTCATATCCCCTCCTACTCGTCATCACACGACGGCAGCACAAATTAATCTTATGAGAATTCAAAACTTAAGAACACATTATGAACTCTACAATGGTTCAGTAGCAATGATTTTGTAAAGCCCTCCGTGTGGAGTTTATTCTTGATATTTTCTCTTTCGTCCTCCCAAAGTCATGAAAGATTCCCGGAAATGACAGAACTGCAAAAATTTGAGATATATCGACGCTCAAACCCTGGACTTTACCCAGACGCTATGTCGGGGGTCAGTTCGTAACTGAGGGAGGCTACTTACATCTATAAAGTGGAAAGCAAAAATGGAAGGGATGAGGAAACATTTACAGAGATTTAAGAGTGCAAGGGCAGTAAACATCAGAAATCGACGTACTTACAGTCAGATGCTGTCCTAGGAGCTACTTCAAGATAGTCCGTAATGTACTGATTGATGATAACTGTGGAGAGTTTTAATTCAAACAAACAGGATATTTATGTACGTATGTTGCGAAAACGAAGACAAGTACTCAGAATGGGCTCTAGGGCCTGTGACTAGCATTAGAAGGGTGATAACACGTCGGACGCGTAATCTATATTTCAGAAATGTGGAGAAGATTGTTTCAGGCTTTAAACAGTGCTTAACATCCTGAAGATTCAGCGAAAGACTGCTTTAGCTGTCCATGGAGTGAGGTGGTAAAGGTACACGATAATTACACCGTAATGACGTGATAAGTCGTTGTACTATTAGGATTGTCAAAGATCATCTCGAAACTATCGCTAGATATGACCGGCATGAGCCTTCGGAGTCTTCACAACAGGGTCCAGACGCCCTACCTGTCATATACTTGGGTCTACTGAATTTTCCGCGGGGGCTTCTCAGCAATAGCACCACAGTTCATCTATGTATCGGTTAATTCGAACGTGCTGGTACTAAATATGCCTCTAACTACGAGAATTCCGTAGATTCCAGTAGCTGCTAGTCTCAACATACCAAGACCGCGATTGTGAAGGAAAAAACAAATGTCCGGTCGTCAGGCGGCGGGGACGACATCAGGGCAGTTGCATCTTTATCAAAGCTCAATGCGCACAAGTTTCCGTAATTATGCTAGTAACATAATGGACAAATAGAAAGAATATCAAATACTCACCAGATCAGGCAGCTTTGATCCAAAGAGACCCAAGATATCATCAGGTGAGGAGATTTTGGAATCTCCCAATACGAATCCTCCAACGTCATCCTTCCCAGGAATATGTTCACCGTGAAAGGATACAAATTCAGGATGCAAAATGTCCAATTTTTGCTTGAGTTCCTCTTTCGAAGGATACTCAAGGACAATGACCTGTAAGAAAATTTCTACCACAATTAATATAGAGAAAAGGAAGCACAAGTATTTGCCAACAGATGGTTAATCTGGGCTTTAAAAACTGCACATAGGTATCACCGAACTTCACAACAAGTTGCATTACCTCTTACCAATTGGAGGACCAAAACACTTGCTTATGTGTCAGAGAGTGGTATTCAGCTTCACAAAATGTTCCGAAACAACCAAAGAAAAGAAAAAAAAACATTGTCTTTGCCACTTCCATCGGCCTTATGCAGAGTAACATCCCATCCTTTATATATCATGCTCTTCAGTCGAGATTCAACTCCTTAATTCCCCCTATAAACTGCAACCTCTACCAGTGAAGTCCTAGCCTGGGTTGGGAGTTTTATCGCAAGGTTGATCAGACGACACAAAAGTACAGACTCTCAAGTCTGTAACATCTCTAAACAGCAGAATTGTCCTCAGACTACTCCTCGATTTGCCGATTTGACCCCCATGCAAGGTTGTACCGAAACTTGGCTACTTTAGTCCGTACAGGAGTTCTAAAACAATCAACAAAGAAGCAGAAGACTTCTGAAAAGGGCATAATCAATTACCTCTAGTTGGCCGCCTGTTACGAGATCAGGGAAGCCTTGATAAGAAAACGCTCCTTTCGTTGGAACTGATTTATCCTTCCCGGGCAGCAAGAATGCATCATTTTCAAATCCGCTAACATTTGGTAGAAGATAAAATGAACCTTTCACGGCACTCTCGGCAGTGGCAGACGAACCATTGACTACAACCTTCTTCCCGAAAATTACAGCAAGTAAGGTGTAAACGGGCTTTCCGCGTCTAGAAGCGGCTGCAGAACGAGCCATCTCTTCCACATAATCTTATGAAAGTCTAGGCGCTCTGTGCCTACACCATGAACTTGCCACTTCCAGCATAAGAACCATGCGACTACGTTTCTGCTGGCTTTTCTCAAGCCCTTCCCTATCGCCCGCCCCTAAAGTGAAACTGAGAAAGATCCCCCTACAATAAGCGCCATGCGCGTCTGCCCTCAGCCCGTCGGTCTTATGCATCAATAGTCAAAAAATTCCACCAATAATAAGGATCCGAAGAACTCCAGTTGCGCAGATCCCATCCTGGGGGGTCGAACCGAAAACCTACGCGCGCTGCAGAATCCGCTTCCGATTGTTGAGAATCGACAGGCGACAAATCACTGGCAGCGTCCCAAGAAACAGCGAGCCAGCAGCTTCGTTTACGATGGAAATAGGCGACCTGCGAACCCGCTCGTTGCATCGAACAGCACCGCAGAAATAAGAGTAGGAAACGAGTCGAGATTGAACAAGGCGTTAAAGACGAAAAGCCAGACCATGTTGACACGAAACGGAGCCCCCGCATGGCGATGAACGATCGCCATAACCGACATGATTGGTATAATACCAACCCTAACCACAATGCTGCTAGAAGAGCGCATCGCAAGATTTCGGGCCGGATCCTTTCCATTCATTCCCTCCCTTACTTCTACTACTTCTACTACCATTCCATTCGGCAGCAACGTCACTGGGCCTGGACTGGAATGGAGTGCTGTACCACGCCTCCAATTTAGCAAAAATTATCCCCGAGCCCTCTCTTTTCCACTATTCCCTCTATCTATCTGAGATTTCCGTCCCACCTCATCATCACGACTCACTTACTACAAGACTACTACCCGAGCCCCCCACCCCCCCCTCTTCCTACAAATACCACCACCACCACCACCTCAGCGCGCCCACCCATGCCATGCCCCGCGTCGCGCATGTCTTTGCGGTCGGGACTAGCATTCCCTCTTTCCAAATCTTCCGGACGCTACTACTACTACATCTACTACATGATACTGCCTGCCTGAAGCCTGCAGCAGCCTCGCCCGCCTGACCCCCAGGCCCCGTCCGATTCCTGTCTGGACTGGATTATCATCATGGAGGAGGCTGTCGCCAGCAGCAGCAGCAGCACCAGAGCCAGCAGCTGCAGCAGCTGCAGCAGCAACCACCAGTGACCAGCCCCGCCCCCGCCCCCGCTCGCTTTTGGCTTTCTTAATTTTTGGCCCCATTTATTCCCCGCTCGCTCCAGCTCTCCAGCACTCGCTCGCTTCATCTCTCGCTCGCTCGCTCGCTCGCGGGCCTCGTCGCGGCACAATTTTCCAGCCTCGACCTTTCGCGTTTTTTCCTCCGTCTTCCGGTCACCCCCGCGACCTGCGCAGACTTTTGGCCCCGTGTGTGCCAATCAGCAGCGCCATTTCCTCTGACGGACTTCGAGCACCAGCCGCCTCCTCTCCTCCTCTCCTCTCCTCTCCTCCCACTGCTCGGCCTCCTCGGGACTCCTCCTCCTCCTCCTCCGACCTCGGGGCTCAGCTCAGCCTCTGCTCCCGAGCACCACCGCCCTCAGCAGCTTTGGCATCTTTTCCATAAGATCTTCCCTCTTTTGATTCATTTCCGCCCCCCTTGCCCCTCTCCTCTCAATTCAAATCCGTTTTTTGACGGATTTGAAAGGAATTTGAAGGGAGCCGAGGATCATTCTAACACTTCTCCTATCACTCCCCTGGGCTGCCTTGCCTGCCTGCCTACTAATCCGATCTCATCCTTAATCCCCACCGCCATTCATTCATTCATTCATCCATTCATTCAATCCATCATTCTTTCTTTCACATCATTCTTTCTTTCACTTCATTCTCTCGCTCATTAGCTTCATACGTACGTCTCTATCTCATTGCCAACATTTCCTCAACCACACGATCATCAATCAAATTACAAAAACTCACTTGCATGCATTTCATTTAGCCCGTCATGTCAATCGATTTCGTGGGGAGGAATCAACCCACCCCAAATTCATCCCAAAAGAATCAATTCAAATCAAACCAACCCAACCTAACCTAACGTCACACCAACGTTGCCCGGTTAGGGGATGCAAAGACTCTTACTTACCTCGCAGAAAAATCCGTCCGGTCCGACTTTCGTGCACTCGTTCAACGAGCCGGTCAAGTCAGAAGATCAAAGCCATCGCTCCCTCGCTCCTTCGCTCGCTCCCCAAGCCAAAGATTTCTCATTCTTTAACTTCTTTTCTTCACCGCCGGCGTCGGCGTCCTCGTCCTCGTCCTCGTCAACGCGACTGCCGGCTGGCGGGCGGGCCTCCCGTTACTGGCTCCAGTGGTCAGGGCCTGACGAGCACCACCACCGCTTTCCTCCGGCCCTCACGGAATCTGCAGTTTGCGTCCGGTCCGTCGCTTTCATATCCGTACATCGCGTCTCGCTCCGCACGGATCGACGGCTCGCGCCCTTTGACCCGACAGACCGATTCGAATACTGCTACAGTATCCCGGCACAGCGACGGACCGGAGTGCGGAGTCGGGGCTGATATCCATTCGTGGATACCGGCTCCCTCGAGTCGCACGTCGAAATCTGGCCACCGGGAAGCGAGACCCAGACGCCGGGAAAAGGAAGTGCGATTCACCGAAGCACCTGATCCTCTGTGTTCGAAATCGCTGTGCACGCGCATCGCGGGCCGGGTCATGCTGCGGCGTCCAGTGCGCGTCACCACCGGCCCCGCCCAGCCGGACTTGGCATTTCATGATCCACTCCAGATCGGATCGATCGCCGAAGGTCGCTGCCATAATGGTCGGCGTCGCCATCGGCCACACGCGCCGTTAAACTCCTGCTTCTCGCTTCGATTTCTGCGTTTACCGGGTACCCTCTATATAAAGCAGCCCCGCCCCCATCCCTTGGACTCTTGACCGTTGTTCTAGACCACGAACGACGACGACCACGACGACGGGACTTCCCGCCTCTGTGAAGTCCCGTGGGCTGCACCGTGGCCCCCGCGCCGCGTGGAAAGCTGCCAGCAGAAGGGAGGGGAGGAGGAGGGGAAGAAAGTGAGGAGGGAGGCAAAGCTGATGATCTCTGGCTTGTGTGATTTGTGGGTTTGTGAGTTTGGCGTGGCGAGCAGAGCAGAGCAGAGGAGAGAGTGCATAACAATGCAAAGCATGCCGGGGCGGACTGCTTTTCTTTGCATTCGTGCTTTATACCTTATTTGATGACACTCTTTCCAGGTGGGATAAAATTTATTCTTTTTCGCGGTGGTGGCGTCGTCGAATCTCCTGCGGAATTTCGGTAGAGCGATGGGGACGGGTGGATGGCAGTGGGGCTTCTCAGATCAAGTGAGCTCCGCGGGGAGTTTAGAGATCTGACGAAATGAAATGAATAGAGCGAAATGACAGCCGAGACGTGTTGTGTGATCCACGATGGCATTGAAACCAGTGGGCCGGGGTCGCTTAAGGTAGGTATGGAGGTGGGTGGTGGTGGCGACGGTGACGGAGGGCGAGGAATGCGAGGAATGTTCTGATGGTTAGCGCGTCGGCGAGACTGCCATAGCCGGGAAGACGGATGCTGAATGGAAACCGGGAGGCTGGACGGTTGGAAATTGGATCGGATGGATAAACTTAGTAGAGGTGTTAACCGTTCATTGTGACGCATTTCTGCGGGGATTGGAGGACAGGCTTACAGAGATCACATGATTTAACCAATCAGAGAAAGGAAGAACAGGAACGAGACATGGGGCTCGGAATTATCATCTACGACACCTTAGTGGTTGGTGGATCTTTGATAGGTTCAGCTTGGGCAGGATTATGGTTTTTGAACAGGAAGCTGTATAAGGATTACGAGGAAAAGCATGCACTTGTGCAGATTTTGTTCGGCGTCGTGTTCGCATTTTCTTGCAATCTGCTCCAGCTCGTCTTGTTTGAGATTATCCCTGTACTCTCCGAAGGGTGAGTGAATCTGGCTTTTCCCAGTCATGTGAGTGCCTGTGCTCCTCACACACCGTGATCTCTGTTTGCCTAAATCTGACTCTCGAAACCCAAGTATCTGGATCTTACATTTGCAATCCACTCTTCAGACTAGACGAAGAGCTTAGGTTGTGTTTTTATGTCTCGCAGTGAAAGTTGACATGAAAGGGGAATTGGTGGGAGCTCGGAGAAAGTCACGTTTAAATCGCTTAATCGCTGAAAACTACACCATAGAAGTCGCCTCATCGCATCTGCTATACGATCTAGAGTTCAGTCGAGCTCACGCAGTTTTTAGAGGCAAAGCGTCAAGCGGACTTCGTGAATCCGTCGAGAGGTTTACAAAAGGATTCTAGCTTCTGGTTTGGAAATTGCAGTGAGAAGGAACAGGGTATACATTGGACTGCTATGTTACCTCAAAATCACCTCTTGCTGGATGAGCCAGCTCAGTCTCATTTGTGAGTTCACGAGCGCGAGAATTTGGTCAAAGAGGCAACTTCTTTAAGATTCTGTTGAGGAGATAGTCACGCAGGCCAGTAAAAAATCATAACAATGAGCAACGTCAGTGGACTTAAAAGTGTCATGGTCTCACTGGAATTGAGTCATGCGGAGAGACCTTTGTATACAGGACTGACGCAACAGCTAACGACGCGATTTCGTCTGTTTATCTTGAGAGGAACTTTGAAATCGAAGGGACTCAGGCTATATGTATATTTACGGCGGTTGAATCACACCCTTAGCATGAACAGGACACCATTAATCAAGCTTCTCAATCTATCTATGCATAAGGGTTGTCTAAGCTACGTAACGTAAGTGGAAGGAATTCAGAGTGGACGAAATTACGATGGACCGCACAATGTGTCATGCTTGTAAAAGGAAATGATCTGTAGTAAGGTCAAGGTGCGCTTTGGAAATCCACGCTTTTACGCGGAATCGGTTGTAGAAATTGTTGACTTCTTCATCTCGTTACTGTTCCATCAGCCTGTTGACCTACCTTTTAGCGAACATCCCCATTGCTGTCCATTGCTATGCTGAGTCGTTAGTTTCGTGATCATTTTTCTAGTACAGTTTGTCTCTTTATAGAGGCTTCCGATTTGAAAACCAATATTTCTTATTTTAAATTTTCGCTTTCTATTGAAAGATGAAGACGTAGTGTACAAAATGCAAAACTTCGTAGAGGACCGTTTGATGTTACACGTCGATTCGGACAGGCCGGTGACACTCCTGTAACATTGAATCATAGTTTTTAGTCTTGCTGTCGATAACATTGATGTTGACCCTGAGCAACAGCTATCTGAGTCAGTTGGGGACGGTGTGTCACTTTTGATTCTCATAAATTCTGTGTATAGATTCTCACGCTAGTGTGTAGTTTGATGTGCATGAGTAGTAAACCGGGACACTGGACCCGTGGGACCATTGTTTCCGTTACCTCATCTTGAAGTCGTCCTTTGTCTTAACTAGTTTGCTTGCTACTTACGTCATTTTCTTCTTGAATTGATCTAGCCGGGAATCCAATTTACCTCTTCAGTATTTCTGTGAAGTAGAGTTGGGAGCTGAAGAAGTTTTTTATTGGCTGTGCAGTGCTCGTTGGATAAACTGGAAGCTTGATCTTTTCTGTTTGGTCATTGTTCTTGTCTTCGTTCTTCCCTACTATCATTGCTACTTAATCTTGCGCAACAATGGTACGCAACAATGCCTCCCCATTTTTTGATATTTTTGTCCAATTAAATAGTTGCCTCTATTCTCTTTCTTTTGTGCGCTAGATTGTGTGTTAAAATTATTGTTTTTCGATGTTGACTGTTTCCAGTTGTTTGTGATCTAGGAGTTGGGAACAAGCGCGCAGCAACAAGTGCAGTAATGTTTTTAACTGCTTTCTTATATGCTTTTTGGCGTATGGGCATTCACTTCCCCATGCCGTCTCCTGAAAAAGGTAAACTTCAAGGCACTGAGAAGCACATATGCCGGGTGGACCGTGTGCATGAAATCCGGATTTTCTGAGAGAGCAAAGAAGCTTTGAGTATACCCTGTTTTCCGTTAGAAAATATCCGAAAGGATCAGTCTTTTCTAATGTAGAGTCGGATTTAAGATACTTCAGACAATCAAAGACCACAGCGTGCTTCGTTAGTACAACAGTTTTCAGGTCCGCGATAAATACGACGAAACGTCTTAGGTTTTGAAACGTGGTGTCTTGTGTTCTCAAGTTGGCATGCCTTCTGACAGCAGTTTTTCTTGTTGCAGGTCTCTTCACAATGGCACAACTTGTCAGCCGACTTGGAGTAATTGGCGTTACTTTGATGGCTGTTCTATCTGGCTTTGGAGCTATCAACCTGCCCTACAGTTATTTAGCACTCTTTACAAGGTATGAGAAGTAGCCACTTATTCTGTGGAATCTAAGCCAGCACAAAAGTTTTGAGGATCGTTCTGGGTTTCATGCTTCTATATACTGTAGAAGCCCTTTCGACGGCAGGTCCACAGCAAGTCACATTTATGTTTGGTGCATAGAATCGATTTTGGCAACCAGACATTCAGAACATCTTATACATTTAGATTGTTGTTATGAGCTTTGTTTCAGCTTTAAAAACTTTGCCAAGTTTCCAAAAATTTTAACAGGTGAAGCTCTATTATATGTAAGAAGGGGCCGAGCCTTTAGGAGAGTAGCTGGTTTTCCTGAGTTAGCCAGTTTTAAAAGACTGGGTGATCTCTGAGCCTGAAGTAGACTATGCAGATGATGATTGGTGGTTTGACAGGGAAATTGATGAAGTTGAGATTGCCGCTCTGGAGAGGCGTCTACTTCACGCTCTTGAGATGTCCCTTGCAAAAAAAAAGAAAATTTTACTATCTCGCAAATATATGGAACGTCAAGTATCTCAGGAGGTGAGCGAACAAGATGTTCATACAGTTACCCAAGTACCCATTCTTTTCATACTTACAGATGTGTGATCGCTCCTAACCAGACAGTATCAAAGCCGTTTTAAGGTCTAGGAAAAAGGATTAGGTAGGTTCATCTATAGTCTTTCTTCCTTTTTATTAGAATCTGGTAAAGCACGGAAGTTACATTAATACAGCATCTGGACCGGCGAAAGCCAAATTGTTTCTTCCTCATGCCAATACGATGGTTACATTTTCCTTCTCTTGCAGCAAGCTGAATCCAAATCATTTATGAAACGGCTCGTCGGTACAGTCGTGCGAAGTGTCCAGGAGGACGATCGAGAACAAGGTATTAGGAAATTTTCAGGCACCTGCTCTCTTCTCTTCATCAGCTGGTGTAGCGTGCGGATAGACTGTATCCACTCTGCAACCAGGTCTTAACTTAAACAGCTTATATTTTAGTTTTAGATACAAGTCTTGTGCTGATGCAGTCACATGATGTATCTTACTTATTTGAATTCATGCTGTCAATGCCTTAGAAATAAGGGAAAGCGAGGAAGAAGTGAAAGCATTGGAGGAGCTCTCTAGGCAACTATTTCTAGAAGTTTATGAACTCCGTCAAGCAAAGGTATACATTTGTTATCATTACTTAGTACAGATAAGCATAATATAATAGTTTTTATTTGAACATTTTACAACCAGAGCGACATCAAAGTTTCCATTTTTTTTCCTTGTTTTTTTCCTAAACAGCCTACGTGTCCCGTAGCTCCTGTGTAGCATATTCTGATATCTAACGTAACCGTCCACATGTTTAAACTTCGTTGAAATACCCGTATACCAAACATATCTCATGATTGGTTTTATGTTTACAGGAAGCAGCAATATTCTCTAGGACATGGAGGGGGCATGTAAACAACTTTCTGGGTTATGTGTGCTCTGTATATTGTGTGTACAAAATGTTGAAGGTGAATCACATCTATTTTATCGCTTTGAACTTTATTGATGGTCTTTACTCAAATTAAATTTTTCTGAATATGAATTTAGGAGCTGATGATACTTTTCTCGTATTTGACTGCAGTCAGCTCAAAGTGTTCTCTTCAAAGAGGTATGCAGCTGAAAGCTATCACAACCATCCAAATGCCTAAAGCAGGCATTTGGATGGCTGATTTGTGAAAGTTCAAAACTTTCGAATTGTACAGTATTTGTTAGAAGTTGGTACACGGAGGAAGATTGATTGGATTGATTGCTTGATTTCATTGAAGTCTCGTCAACTAGATTTACAGCCTCAAAGAATGTTTTAAAAATTGGATGATGTAATCTTCTTAGCGGCAAACAATATTATAATTGGACTTTCATTCAGACTTTTTACATTTGTTCCTCTCTTTATGTAAATCCACACTAAGTTAATTATATGACCTTGATGACCGGAATCCCCCATTGACGCTTGAAACTGCACATATTTTGCAGTCAAACTCTGTGGATCCAGTCACACAAACCATCAGTATCTTTCTGCAGTTTTTCGACATTGGAATCAATGTCAACCTCTGGTCTCAGGTTGTATTTCTTGTTGTATGTAGAAGTTCATGGATAGTGTTGTAGTCACTGTAACTTTTTCTTTCTAAGATCAGTAATCAATAAGCTGAGTATTGGAACAGACAAGGATATATCGATCAGGTTTGTGCAGAGCACCTTCTTCTGTAGAGTATTTGTGGCTTATAATTTGCTTCGAGGAGTACCTGCAACACTCTAACGGGATGTTGTTAACATGTGTTGGTACTTGTGTCTTGCAGTATATTTCACTTATATTCATAGGTGTGCTTATCGCCATATCTTTAAGGGGTTTTCTTTCCAACTTAATGAAGGTGCGATTTAGTTTGTCCAGTCACATTACCTTGAGCTTCACGACTGTACGGCCTCTTTGACTTTTGATAAGGTCCACAGACTTCGATCTTAGTCTGTACTTCAAGTCTCGGTTCGTGCCCTGCTTGTATTGACGAGAGAAGTCAAGTTTTTGTGGAAGATTGAAGTGCAAGAAACTTATTGTGGACCGTGTTGCGCAGTTTTTCTTCGCGGTATCGGGAGGTAGTGGTACTTCTAGTAATGTCGTGCTGTTCCTGTCAGAAATCATGGGCATGTACTTTCTCTCCTCAATTTTGCTCATCAGAAAGAATCTACCCATGGAATACAGGTATGCTCTAAACCTCACTCACATTCTTCTAATGTCTCATTCATCTGATATAGAGTGTTTTCCCGTGTTGTCCGGACCTAAATCATACCTCCGTCCAGAGTGTCCGCTTGAGCATCACTTTGAACTGCCAATTTCGCCCTTGTCCTTTTTGCTGCGTCAGCAATACTCTTTGAAGCTGTTCTCAAATCTTTGTCCGCAGGTGACCGTCTCGATTCCATGTGTCTTATCTCTAACTATCTATTATCGATCAATAATGCAGATCCTTGATTACTGATGTTCTTGGAGGGGATATTCAGTTCAATTTCTATCATCGGTGGTTTGATGCGATTTTTGTAGCCAGCTCTCTTATTTCTCTGGTACTCCTTACTGCCCATTATTCGTCACGCCGTGCTGAAAAGAATCCTGTGGATTGAGCCTGGCACTTGGTTCACACTGTACTTTCACCCCGAAGTCATGCTTGACACGATTGGCTGTTATGAAGGCTTCTTGCAGATTCTTAGTAGGCAAATGATTCTTTCTTCAGAAGAGAACCACGTCAGATTTGTGGTCGGATTCGCCATGTATGAAGAGACCTCACCTCCATAAACTAAGGTTCCTTTATATCCATTTTTTCCATAAACCTCGAATGCAACACCAGCCCGCTTAGCTCTGGAGAGGACGGTCACGTTATCAAAACTCCGATGCTTGGCCCCATGGCTGCTTGCAAACTAAGTTCAAACATTCAGTATGATTGAAAATGTCATCGACTTGTATATACCGAACAAAAACTTAGTGAGATCTAGCATTTTACGCACCCGGGACCTCATTATTTACAGTCTGTTGCTTATAAGTCTGTAGGGTAAGGGCACCTGCCCTTTGTTATTCTTTGTCCAAGAAACTCCGAAGTAAAGTAAAATTACAGTACTACTAAATTCTGAAGCTGGGGATTCGAAGTTGACCATAGCGGTCAGAAGACGATTGTCTATTTATTTAGGAGTATTTATAGGTCTTGTGAGCCGGTGATTTCTGTGATTTTCATCTTTTTTGAGCCACTTAGTTCGAATTTAGAATGATTTAAGTGGCGATGGATGAGACATGATGATTTTGGTTTGCATGATCTTAGGACTGGCAATTTCAGGGAAAGTTTCGTGAGCTTATTGATCTGTTTACTAGTTTCATTAACACGGAGCAGATGACCTGAGTCTGGACTAGTGACGGGCCTGAAAGGCTAGGTCATATCTTCAATTTTCTGAATCAACTTTCTGGATTTTTGGAACTCTTGTTTGTGGTGTTGATATATTTGATTAACTTTCGAAAGGAAACATGTTGCTGAGTTAAGATTTAACAGAAGAATCTACTGATTTCGAGAGTGAACCTTCACGACGAGAAGGATCGACGTGTATACAGTTTTCTGACATGAGTGGTTTTGAACAGCGTGTCTTTGTCCCTGTGAACCCTTAACCTTAAAGTTCAGCTTAAAATGCGATGGCACTTTGTATTGGATTCTCATGTCAAATTGAACAAATTTGATTTACCCTAAAGGTGATGGTATCCTTGTGTTGGAATCTTCAAATCAGTTAGTAAAACTGAAGTGTAAGCGTTTGGGTAGAAATTCAACTTCACTCTTACATATCATGCGGAAAGTTTGATATTTTAAACACTCAGGTTCCTTCAACAGAATGTCGTTATGAATTAGAACTACACCGTTAATTGAAATGAACTGTGCATTTAATGTTGAAAGTTTAATTTGTGCTATGAAGAATTTGTCCAATGTTTGTGTAGGTCTCACTACCTAGAGAAAATAAACATATTAGAATCATCTATAAACTCACGAAAGCTCATGATTTTGAATTCAAATCAGATTTCCTATCCAGGGTTTGGGATTTGTAATCTCAATATTTAGATTTATTGAATATTATAAGTAATCTAACTTTTGTAACTCCATAGACTAGAATTATTTCAAATTGAACTAATGCAAAGTAGTATGATGTAAATTTAGAGATGTAAATAATGTAAATGGTAGAACACTCTACTTGCGTGGGCCACATAATCGCCTCAAATAGAACGGGCTTAAATGAAAGGGAACGAGTAGGGCCACACCCGTTTTTGCTACGGCCACATCTGCCGCACTTTTGCCACTACACTCGACCGTTAAACTCATACTCGGTGCAATTGTCGGGCTTGAAGCGGGCGCAACCCTCGCATTCAAAGCTGTAGGGCACATTCTTGAGCTGCGACGGGTTTGAAGCGGGCGCAACCTTCGCATTCAAAGCTGTAGGGCACATTCTTGAGCTGCGACGATGCTCAACAAGGCCACATCGTCCGCACGTCTCCTTACTCTTCTGGGCCACTGGGGGATGTACGTATTCAAATCCAGATGGGTCCTGCGGGCGGGTGTGGCTCTAATCGTCCCCTAAATGAAAATGTGACAGTAGTAAAACGTTTATCTTCACTTTTAAAGTAGACAATGATTATGTAAGTATCAATGGATTGAATTCATCTAAATTTTTTACAAGTTCTATTTTTATTTAATTCCAAAAACTAATATTTAGTAAAGTGAAATTTGACATCAATAAAATGTATTGAATGTGTTATCTCTATGTCGTTTGCATAACTTTTAAGAATAATAAAACAAAAATTTTTTTAACTACAATGTTACAATGAAGATGTTATTCTTATAATATAATAAAACATCTATTCACACAGATCAATTACACTTTTACCATTATGGTATCATAAATTCATTATATCTTATTTGTTGCTAACTTTCTTATATTAGTCAATAGCTTGTTTTCATGCATGTAAATATTTTAACAATTTACCTATGCAAACAAAAAATTATATGTTTTGTACATACATTTTTGAACATAATGAATTCAATGCAATATTGATGCAAGTGGAAAAAAAATATCATCAATATTACATGACAGAACAATAATGAATCTCATTTATATCATGATATGCATTAAATGTGATATTTTAGTGCTCATAAATAAGTTGAGTATGTAGATATCAAATAAAAACATGATGCAATTGAAAGCTATGAAATAATTGATTAAATTATTTCAAATATTAAAAATTATGATTTTACATGTGATGATTGATTTTACAATGTGAAATTATTATTAGTATATGTTGATGCTTACTATAAGCAAGATCTCAATCAAAAACATTTGAACGTTGAATGCCTTACCTAAGAATGTAATTGCAAAATTGTTCAACTTACCATATACACTGGCTTAAGTCCTCATCACTTCTAAGGTCGCATTTTTTAGACAAATTTTCAAGCATCAAAGTTTTCAAGATTTATTATTAGCAAAAGTCAAACATGATCAATTGGAGTATGCTTTTAGCTCGTTCGCAATGGCAAACTGATGGTAATGTAGAACACAACAGAAAGTAAAAATAGTCTCATTATACTCATTAATATGCTCCGATCACACATGAGGATAACATTTTAGCTCGTCAATTTCAACCTTAAGCTTGATAACACTCAGCATTGTGTGAAACATCACATCACGCTGATGCATATAAGGATTGTTGTAATCAGATTCATACTCCTCGGATTCGACAATCGGGTCCAAAACAACAACATTTATAACGTTTTGATTTTCTCTAACAAATTTTCCTGATACATTTGCAAATACTTGTTGTAATCATTCAAATGGTTCATTTATCTTGCTCATAATATTGGTTTCACTAGATTTATTGAGAAGATTACAATTTCTTAACAATTCAGTAATGTCAGCTATAGTGACATCATTACTTCAGCCATTATTATTGTACTTGCCAAATCCAAGAATAATATTTATTTTTTTAAGGTATTTTTTTAAGCTATCAATAGAATTGTTGTTCCAAGTACCATTTGAAAACTTTGTAGCATTAAGCAAATATGGAGGTATTCCGCAAACAATCCTAGCTGCGTACTGTAACCTCTGGACTGACTCTCACTGAGGTTTATCTTAGATGGTTTTGTGTTAACTCATCATGGTTCTAGAAGACTAGCATTCTCACTTATACTCGTGTCTTAAACCTATCTCACACAAACTCTCCATACATCACTCAATTCACACAAACTCAAACACACATAAATACTTCAAGATATTGAAAAACCTCATTCATTCATTCATAAAACAAATCTTCACACATGAACTTTCCAAACTTGCTTCAGAGTCGCTACTCAAACTCTTTATTTATACTACTTGAGACATTACCATACTAACATGTAGTAATTTCTCCTAACTCACTTGTCCCTAGGTAGGTTTGACTAACCCACTACACGTGGCAACATGTTATTGGCATAGCTAAATCTTCTAGATGTTTCCGGAATCCGAAGTTAATGTGACGACATAACATTGGAAGCTTTAAAACTTCTAGAAGCTTCCTAGCCACTTAGTCAACATTAGACTTACTCAAATCAATCATCTTTCATACATTTAGTCAAACGAATCAAATCCAAGCTTATAGTCAAAAGTCTAATAACTTGGAATCCACACGTTTTGTAAAAAACAAAATAGAAGTGTTAATCCCAACTTCTAAAACTCTTCTAATTATTCCGCCGAATATAAACATTATAGTTAAACTTAATCATGACTAGTTAAACTTAGTTATAATAAAATAGTTTAGTCATAACTAGCTAGACTTAGCTACGTCTTGGCTAATCATCATTAATCATTTGACTACTTCTACAATTTAGTAAACATGTGCAACATCCGGTCTCACAGCGACGTTTGAGTTTCAAAGATGTTAATGCAAGTTATTCATTAAATTCTTATGGATTATCTTAACGTCCGACAATATTTTTTAGCAAAAGATGCTTGTATCGTTTTTAACAATTGTTATGAAATCCATATCCATCGGCTAATTCTGAGAGATGAGATCACGCAAAAGGAAGTCAACACAAATGTCATTGCGCTCAAAAGCAGTAGCATGAACAAGAGTGTTCTCAAGAAGCAACAACACTTTGTTGTCTATACATCAACAAACATAAGATTCAAGGATTATTTATCAATTATTGAATGTCGAAACATCAATCTAAGAGTTATTTTGATAAAAATAAGCAATATGTCACGTGTTTTCTGCAATGCAAACAAACTGATTTACCTTTCCAATCCAAGCATTCTTCTGATGAAAATAAGGAATAAATCAAGTGTTTTCTGCAATGCGGACAAGGTGTTTCAACTTTCTAATCATTGTGATTGAGAGTCATTCAAATCCACTAGTGTTGCAACACACCACTGATGTCATCATATCTTTTGCTTGTTATTTTCGCGGATAGTGATCAGATCTTCATGAGGCATCAGAATAGTATATTGTGGAACGACTTGGAAGAACAATCTTGTTTTGTCCATGTTGTAAACGCATTTAGTTTCATATTGATCAATCATGAAAGACAAGTTTTTCAAAGCTTTAAATGTCTCAGGATTGTTTTTGTCGAACTCTTCACTCTCTCCAAGCAAATTACGCCGTTAAACCATGTCAATATCAAAAACTTGCAAACCAACTCCACGATGCCTTGAATTTATCATCAACAATCTCAATTGCGGTCGCAATCTACTTTACTTTGTAGCAAATGATAGTGGAAAAAGCTCGTTGTATTGCATCAATCTATGTAAGAAGCTTCTTCTCAACATCAACATACACTAATTGAAAAGCGTAGAAGATTGAATCCTAGTGTTTTGATCTATTCTTTGTGTTTGTTCACGAATTTAATTTTTGCTTTACTTTATTTTTGAATAATTTTTTCATCAACACTAAACTCTTAAGCAATGTTACACTTGGACGACGACTTTGACGCTTCTATTACATTGATGATTTTCATACCATGACGGTCATTGAGACGCTCGCCTTTATCTTTACACTTAGAATTTTGAATGTTGGCATTGGCGCTTCTAATAAATTGATGATTTTCATACAATGACGATCACTCAGACGTTGGACTTCGTCCTTACACTTAGAAGTTTGTTGCGCGTTTTTTGTATGAAATGAACTAACTTTAATCTCCTTCAAGAGTTAAATACTCTTTATTATATGCCAAAGCTACTAATATTA